GCATCGCACTTTCATCGATTCTATCCTATTCTTTGTGCGGAAGTCTTATTAGTTCATCGAAGTATAATGATTTCCGTTTCTCGACATAGCGTTGAGGGATTAACGTCAAAACTATTCGACGACCAATCGGGTACTTTCTCCGCAGATATTGTTTTATCATTCCACTGAGAATGTTTGTAATTATTGTCTTGCTACAAGCGTCAGTATCGATCAATCTTGTAATTTACGAAGCTATATGTTGATTTCATCCTATCTTCTAGAAAACTTCCAGAAATATGCGCGCAGAAAGTTGACTTAACCATAGGTCAATGACTTTTGCTCCTTGCTGCATATATTATTGATAAACAATAAAAAAAAATGTTTAAAATATGCTACTTACAAAAGATTTCTTAACAAAAATTGTGCATTTGTAATTTGTCCATCTTCATGTTTAATAAACCATGTTATCGAACCACCATGAATTTCATACCGGCGTTCTAATCGAGCAGTCTTATTACCTGTAATAATAGTTTTTTTCTTTATATAAATATTCAAAATAAATATTTAACTAACTTGTTGCTGCTATTCTCAGTTTGACTAATCGTGCTAATTGCATATCTTTATAAACTGCACACATCATTCCTAAATTTTCTGCTAATTCATTTGATTCAGCTTTAACTGAACTATATGAATTTTGTAATTGTTCATATTCTTCTGGTGTAAATGAAAATGCACGTTCTCGACCATGACCATGACCAGGAACAGGACCAGTACTAGTACCATCTTCTTCTTCGGATGAATATGAATTACTACTAATAAAGAATAAATAAGAAACAAACTTTTTCTATCTCAATATAAAAATAAAAATCTTTTAACTTACGCTAAATTATTATTATTAGTTCGACTAAAATAATAAATTTCTCGTTCAAGTCGTCGTAACTCAGCTAATGTTGATCTAAATAATTGTTTAATGAAAATATAATAAACGATTTGTCAACTTTTATATTTTACCTGACACGTTCAAGTAAATGACGAATATTTTTTTGTAAAACAGGTAAATTATTAGCTAATTGAATTTTTAAACGAAGCTTTCGTAATTTATTATTTGCACCCTAAGTAGAAGAAAATTAAGCAAAAATAAAATTCTTTTATTATTTTACTTCTTTCTTCGGTTCAACATATAAAAGTAAATTATTAACGATATCCATAATTGTACGATATTGTGACTAAATAAAATAATAAATAAAATTACAAAAGAAAAAGATTTATTAAAATAAACAAACTGAATTTGTTGATAATTGAATATCATTATGAATAAATGTAAAAGAATCAACAAGTAAACGATCATTTTCACCAATAGGATTAGATTCATTTATCGATGGTTTTGTAAATGGCTAAGAAAATAAAAGAAATATATAGAATTTATCATTATCAAGAAAGAGCAATCATGCTCTTAAATATAATACAAATCACTTCTATGCAATTCAGTGAATTTTATAACGAAATTACTATCGAATCGAAAAGATTTACTTTTAATCATATTACTACGTATAAAAAATGGTTCCAAACAAAAGTTGTAAGAATTTACTAAATGATATATTAATGGTTAATCGCGCAAAATAGGATATGTATATTTTTGAAATCGAAAAAATTTTCTTATCTATTTATTACCGGAATAACGATATTAGTATCAGTTTCTTCTTCTTGTTGTGTTTGTTCAGTATAAAATACATAGGATAAAGTTGCATTTGATTTTGATATAATACATTGAAGTTGTTGATCACCACAACCATCATTTGTAGCTACACTTCCAACAACACTTCGTGATGATTCACCTAGAAGAGAATTTTCATCACGAATATCACGTCGTGGAATCCAAATAATATCATCATCTAGTGAAAATAATGTTGAAGTTGGATTATTTGTTTTCTCTTTTGTTTTTGTTGTCGCCGTTGTTGTTGTTGTTGGTGGTGGCGATGATGAAGATACTGTCGTTGAAAAATATTGCATTCCTTGTAAATCACCATGCCAAGATGTTTTATCGCATAACTGTTCATCACGCCAAACAGGTTGATGACGATATTGATCAACTAATGCAACTGTAGCTGATAATATAACATAACCACCTGATTCAATACCACGTAAAGCTATTTGACTATCAGCTAATTCAATATGTAATGTATGTTCTTCCACATCATCTTTTGTACATTGACGAAGACCAATTAATGATACAGATGCATCGACACTCTATGAATAAAAAGTAAAGAAAACCTTCATAGAATCATATATATAGAATTGAATCTATTTACAACAGAACTCGAGAATAACTAATTTATTTAATTAGAATTATCGATAATCTTGAGAAGTATAATGTCGAGACATGAATTTAAATCATGAAAATAATGATTTACTACAGTCTTGATTAAAATACTATTTCGATATTCAAAACTTGATGTTAGTCGTATGATTAATGATGAATGTTAGTAAAATATAGTGAGCATATTAGAAGAATTATTTCATCTAGCAAGGATATCTAATCAATCAAGTGAATAATTGTCTTTTTACATTAGTATAATCTGAGCAAAGTTGATTAATGTCTGAAAATCAATATTTCAATATATTTGAGTTGATATAAGCCAGGTATAAATTACCATTATCACCTTGTTTATAATTTTTCTTTTACTTCTAAATCGATCGAGAGTAGCACTAATAGTTTAAATATAGAATTTTTCGATATATTTTAAAACTAGAAGCCATCTTTAACTGTTCAGTGAATTAATTACATAATTCGAAATGGAAATGTCGATTTCAATTAAAATCTCTAAGTAAAATCTTTATGTTTACAATTTAAATCTAATCTACTGTTGAATTTCATTGTCTTACTTCTACGCAGGGATATGTCTTCGTTATAACTAAGATCATTAATGTGAATATCTACAGATCAAATGTTATACGTTAGATAGTATGATGCTAAAGAAAAGGATTTCTTTTAAGTAATACTAACGTACAGGATCAAGATCTGCACTTGGTTTATTTTGACTTTCATTAATAAGTTGATCAAGAAATGAAGCTAATGTTGATGGTTGAGAAGTTGATCCATTTGTTGTCATACTTATAGTTGTTGATGTTTGAGTTGAATATAAATCTTCTGAAGTTAATGTTGATGTTATATTTGAAATATCATCTGCTGGCGATTGATCTGAAGGTGTAGTAAGAGTTTTTTCTTGTTGTAAATGTTCAAGTTCTTTAGCAAATGGATTGGAAAGATTTGATCGAAGAATATTATTTCGACGATAACGTTCATAAACAAGAAAAAGTGTTCGACGATTAGTTAAATTCCATACAGCTTTTAATTCATCAATTAATACTGAATGTGTACTACTTTTACTACTTGTTGATGGTGAACGTATATATATTAAACTATCTAAACTAAGAAAAAATGTTCGTTGTTGTTGACATTCTTTTTGATTATCATGTTTATTTGATATTTCATTTGATTCTTTATCTTCATTAGCATCTCGTAATAGCCATGTCTGTGCACGTTTTAAATTAACATTCATCATTTTAGGTTTCCATGAAACTTTTGGACGTCGTGCAAGACCATCATGATGATCAATTAAATTTAATTCTTGATAAGTAACAAAATTAAATAATTGACAATCAACTTGTGCACCTGTTTGACGTGCAAATGATGTTAAATATTTAACACGAAATTGTGGAAGAATTAATTGTAATTCAACAGCTTCATAATGACGAGATAGAAGTGGTTTACGTGCTGGAACAACTAGTTCACCTATGGGTAAAAACAATGGTCCACGACGTGTTGGTCGAGTAATAGACATCATTGTATTCTATATTTAAATATATATATAGAGAGAGAGAATGATTTCTTTTTGTTTATCTTACTTTCACACGTTCACAAAATCTAAGTGTACTAGCATAGATAGTACATGTTGGTGGTATACCACCTTCAGGTACATCTTTACATTCAAATTTTGCTGTTGCATTTAAATGCTTTGAACGGTATAGAGTATAAGAATCATGAGGCTAGAAAATAAAACAATGATAAACATGGATATATAAACATAATGTGTGATCAGATTTATTTGCTGACATCATGGTGAATATCAGACTGACTTATCAATATAAAAATGACATCATATCACACAAGTCTGAGAGGAAGATTTGAACATGAGTAGTTCGAATTCGAATATTAGAATAGCGTTCGACTAAACTTGCCTTCTGCTTTTGCCATGAATTAACAGCATCACGTGTAGCAAGTCGAACGGCATGATGATCATTTGAATTACCAGTACATAACCAATTAAGAGTAATTCTACGAAAAAATAAATTTGATTTAAAAGTGATTTATTTATATATTTTTTTTAAACCTTGTATCAACACTTGGTAAATAAAGTAGACAACAATCATCATATTTTGAACTTGTTCTTAATTTAATCGAAAGACTTGATGCTTGAATAATAAATTTTCCATTTGTCCAGTCAACAAATGCTTGATCCCATACCCATTCCATTTCTTCAGTATCATTATATGGACTTGATGCAACATGATAAAGCCATGACATTTTATTTGCTGCAAATGACCATCGACCATGAAGGTAAAGACGAATTTTATCCCACCATGGAAGTAATGGTGAAGGATCAACAGTACGAGGTGTTATACTATTTAAACATAAATTTACTTGTGCCATTGTATTTTCCCACTAGAAAGAAAATCATACATTTACAATAAAAATATTATTCTTAGTTTTTTATTTTATCATTGCGAAATTATTCATTAATTAACATATAAAACAGAAATACTTCTTTGAACCTTAGATATGACCTTTGTTTAATTATTCTTTTTATGATATTGTAATAGCTCCTCGAGGTATAGAATCGTTTAATAAATAAGCCGATTTTCTGAAAACTATTCAGTATTAAATATTCGTCCGATTTGAAACGATAAAAAATAAGCAAGTTTTAATAAAATACATCGCATATTCTTAGGCTTTTGTTTCGTTTAAGATGATTAATTATATTGTGGGGCAAGTACAATAGTTTTCTTTGTCAGAACTTTAATGATATACTATTAAGCCTTTCAATTATAGAATAATCTTACAATAGTTTTCCGTAATTATACCCGCTATTTCTTATCTAGATTTTATCTTAACAATTATTATATCATATAAAAAAATACTTACAGCTGGTCCATAAGAAATAAGAAAAGAATCGATATCTGAATTGATATCATGATAGAATTTCAATGGTGAAAGAAGACGTTGTACACGAAATCGATTTGGTTCATAAGGTTCACCAATTTCTACCCATGGTGTTCGAATAGAATCTAAACTATCAGGTGTAACTTCTGCAGCACAAATATGTCCCCAAAGATTAAATTGTTGCATTTGCCATAATGGTTGTCGAAAATCTCTAAAATGTATTGACCATTCATCGCATTTCAATATAACATAACGACACCATATAGTACATAAATCACTTGTATCATATGGAATTTGTGTACTATCCGAATCAATTTGATGTATTATATTTAATATATTTTCTTTTCCTGTCCATGATTGATCAGCTAATGCAATTAAATCAACTTGTTGTAAATGCCAACGTATTAAATTACGTTTTATGCGTTGTTTATTTTCATCAAAATTTGTTTTTTGACTACGTTTTATATATACTTTAGAACTCGCTTCCATTAAAGCTCGTTTTAATTCATTTATATTATGTAATGGTTGAGATGTACGGTCAGATTCTTCAATACGTTGTTGTAAGACTTGTTCACGTATTTCACGTTCTTGATATTCATCAGCCATTAACTAATACGACAAAAAACAAAAGTTACTTTTAAATATAAAAATTTTAACTTACGCAGTAATTTTGAAATAATTTTACTTCAAATAAATCATCAATAATAGCTAATTCGAAGTCCTTAAAAGAAACGTTTAAAATAAAAAAAACAAATAAACAAACAAACATTGATTTTGATTGATAAATCTGTCCAAACTTCATTTGATATTTTATGTTTAGGAATTTCATTTAAAAATTTTGATGACATATCTCCATTATGATTATGAATACGTTTTAACCATTTACGAATATTAACTAACTAAAAAAGAATATTTTATTATTAAACATAATTTTTTTTTATTTTGAAAAACAAACCTTTTCAACAACTTCATTAAATGTTGAATCAAATGGAAAACGTATAGAAAACGAATTTATTTCCACTGAACTAGCACGATTATGCAGCATATCAAGTTTAGCAACTGTTTTCTTCTGTAATAATATTAATCGTTCTGTTGACAAAACTTTTGATTGAGTAAGACGTGTAAATAATATGTCCTGTTTAAACAAAAAAACATTTATACATGTAAATTTCAAATAAATATTTACATTTATAACAAAAATACATTGTTGTTGACAATCGATAATTAATTGTGAACATTTTAATTGCATTTGTGTTTCATTATCAAATGAATGTTGGCGAATAAATTGAGATGAGAATTGATGAAATTTCAAATGAATTCTAATAATATCAAATCAATTAAATAACACAAAGACAAAACCTATGACTCAGATTTACACCTTCAGTGTGATTTATGAAAATGTAAGTACTAGTGAACATAATGATATAGTCATATATTTATTTCCGAAGAGAGAGATCAACTAGAAGCTCTTTCGATTTACGTCTGTTTCGTATTATCAACTGATTATGCTAAAATTATTTTTTATACATACTTGCAATCATTTGATAATTGTAAATATACATGAGCAAATGCATCGACATTAAACTCGATATTATTCTTTGTCGTTTGTTTATTGCTCTCATTGTCATTTGATACTGTTTTCATTTTTTCATTATTTAATTTCAATGAAGACATAAAACGATACAAAAACAAATGTAATTTAGTTGACCATACTAATATCATATCATGTGAAACAGTTATTTTTATGGTTGAATTCGTCTAGAAAATAAAATTAGTACTGAATTTTTTAAAATAAAGCAAATGTATATTTACGAGAAGATGTTGATTAGTCATACGACGAATTTCAAGTATTTTCTGACCTTGTGTTAATGAAGCGAACGGCTATAAAAAATAAATTATAACTATAAAAAAATATTGCAAATAAAAGAATACATACTATATCATCTGATGATTGATTATTAAAGAATGTTATAATTTTTTTCATCTCTATTTGTGATCGAGTTGCACGTATCGATGATATTGATAAACACAAATATACTAAAAAACAGACTTTCTTTTTAAAATTAAACTATCTTTTGTTATTTACCTGGTACAGTATCGCAAATAACTATTGTAACAGACTTCATATATAAAGACAATTCAATCGAACGATTTGAATCTGTTGTTGTTGGTGGTGGTGTTGTTTTTGTTGATGAAACTGGCATAGTTCGTAATCGTTTTAAAAGAGAAATTAGAATATGATTTGATTGCAAACGTATTCCAGTTATATCAGATTGAATATGTATCGATTTACTGATTAATATCTATGAATAGAATTTATTATTGTATTTTATTTTGAAAAAATATATATATTTATTTCTTACAGTTGCATTTGCATTTGGAAGATAAAATAGACAATTCCATACATGTTTTTTATCAAGATTATCAATTAAGGATTCAGAAGATACATTATCCTGATTATTAGACGTATATATCAGCATATTTTTTAATTCAATTAATGATCTAGAATAAAATTTGCTCAAAAACACAAAAAAATAATAAATTTTGCTTTTTACTTTGATTCTAAATTTTGAATATAATGAAAGATTATTTTTGAGGAATTCATCTGACATATGAACCATTCATCAATATCAAGCATTTTTAAACGAATAGACGGATTTAAAAATTGGAATGATATATCTATCTGTCGATCCAATATCCATGTACTGAATAGAATTAGATTTTAATAGAAAGTAGAATAAAAATTTTCAAATTATTTACGTGTTTGATGATGAAGATGATCGAGAGGATAGTAGTGAATGAACTTGTTGAATAGTATGTTCATGTAATTGAATATTAAGTTCATTTAATTGACAAGTAAGATCAAGACGAACGGGAAATATCTGTAAAAAAAATTAAATTTTGTTGATTTATGGACAAGACAATCGTTTTTTTTGTTCGTTCATGTCGTTACGACCTTAAATACGTAGTTGTAACTATGACAAATTTATTGTGATGAAATAAATAGGTCATTTTAAGAACAATTACTACAGAATGATTTAACATTAGTTCTTTCTTATAATCGCTTCAGTATCTAACGAAATTAAGCTATAGATTTTGATCTGATATATAAGTTAAGAAATAGAGAAATTCTCGTTGATCAAACAAAAGATCTATTTAATGCATCCTTGAATTCTCTAGGGATATTAATTTGATCTGATATGTAGTGCATTTTCTATATGGAACTAATTAGCATTTATCATTGAATACTTACTGTTACTTGACATAAACCATTAATAAGTACTGACTGAGAATGAAGTCGAAAATTAGCAATATATGCATGTCGTGATTCAACAGAGACTGTAGATGAGTTTTGAAATGAGAATTGAGCTGTGTCAAGAGTATGATAATGATGTATATTATCTCTAGATGAAAATAAATAAACAAATATAAAAATAAAATTTTGATTGATAAAATATACATAGATGTATATTGCAAATCAAAATGTCGAACAGAAATACTAAGAAATGGATCATGAAGAAATTCGAGCCATTGATCAAATTTAGTAAATAGATTATTTGAATGTGTCGGTTGAGTCATGGATAATAAATTAGAATCTATATAACGAAAATTTGATGTTCTCTGCGGTTGTTGTTGTTGTTTTTGTTGTTGGGAAGTCGAAGAAAAAGAATTCGCTTGTTGTTTTTTTAAATATTGAATTATTCCTATAAAAATTTTTTACAAACTATGTGCTATTTTGCTAACAAAGAACACCTAACTGTCATCGATTGTAATAGACCAATGATTTGTATCAATAAGTAAACGTTGTTCTAAATTTGTTTGTAATTCAATATTATTCCATGTTGATTTCAATAATAATTCTGGCGATATACCATTATTTATTTGCTCTGTTTTCTCAGCAAATGATAATTCAACATATTCACAATTAATCGACGTATTCGAACTAGAATAAAACTAATCGTGTTTTTTGTTTGTACTTTTGATACATACTTTGTACTGTTTGGTATAGTAGCTGGATTTAATGAAACACGTTGACATGTAATATTGATATTTTCATATTCAATTTGCAATTGTTCAATTCGAATGGAAACATACTTTAAAAAAAAAAAACGATATTCTTTAAATTTCAAGAGAAAAACAAAAGAATTTTACTTTAAGTAAATATAATTTTGTTTTCCAATCATTTTTTGGTTTAGTTTTAGTTAGATTTTTATTTGTAAGAGAATTAATTTTTAGATGAACATTATGTATTGTTAAAATTGGTAATCGCCAAAGAACTATTGAAAATATAGACAAAAGATTAACATGTTTAATGTGAAGATGAAATAAACGATGTTCTATTTCAAGATTTTGTATATCACCAAGACCAATTGAACTAAAATTAATATCAATTCGACGAAACCATTTAAGATAAATTAAAAATAAACTAAAAGAAAATAAATAAACAAATTCTTTTTTGTTGTATGTTATTTTATTCATACCGAATTGTTAGCCATATAATACAAAAAATAATACCAAATCCAAGAAGAATTAAACCAAGAGCTCCTCCGAAAACCATGCTCTTCTTTTCATATGGTAGAAAAATATCAAATAAATATGAATCATTATTTTTTCTAATATATAATACAAAACCATTCGTACATAACAGATGTCGCTGATCAACGGAAATAATTAATTTATATCTATTAATTAATTATTCTTAAAAATTTTGATATTTTTTTAAAAAATTTTCTTTTCTGTTGAAAATATTGACGTAAAAAAAATTATTTTTTATTTAATAAACTGAAATATTCTTCTAAAATTCTATTGGTTATTTAACATTTTTAGTTTGTCTACTTGTTTATTAAAGTCATTTTTCTGTCGATTTAGCTATATAGAATTTAGGTTTGATTTTAGATCTTTCATTGGTGAATTAATTAAACATGGCTACAAAAGATCCAACAAGTGGTAAAATTCCAGCTCAAGCTGGTGCTGGTGAACAACAAGAATATAAAATTCGTATAACATTAACATCAAGAAATGTAAAATCTCTTGAAAAAGTCTGTGCGGATTTAATTCAAAAGGCTAAAGATGAAGAAATACGTGTTAAAGGACCAGTACGTATGCCAACAAAAGTTTTACGTATAACAACACGTAAAACACCATGTGGTGAAGGTTCAAAAACTTGGGATCGTTTTCAAATGCGTATTCATAAACGTGTTGTTGATTTACATTCAAAATCGGAAATTGTTAAACAAATTACATCAATTAGGTTCGAATTTGATTTGAAGTTCTTTTTTATTGAATTTTGTTTTATGTTTTTGTTTTTATTTAGTATTGAACCAGGTGTAGATGTTGAAGTAACAGTAGCCGATTCATAAACGAAAAAATCAAGTACAATTCAAAGATCGAAGAAAAGATATTAACATCAATATTGTCTTCTCTTCTTTTCCTTGTTATTGTTTTTGTTGGATTTTATATCGAATAAAACAAACACAACAAAATTTAGTGACAAAAAAAGAAAGAAATCACTTTACTCTTTTTAACTTTGAGAAATCAGTTAGATTAGTTTATTATAATGATACGATTAATTTCGAAGATAATATTCATTTATTTGACACATAAAAGTTTGTTGAACTATGACAAACAAAACAGTTATCGCTATTACTGAAATTACAGTACCATTACAGTGTACATCGGAGCACTGAAAGGCCGACTTTTACTGATGTGCTAGATATATCTAGATTGGTAAATGCTGGTGCTCCAGTAGACTTACTGGCAGTTTTTCAGTAATTACACCAACACTGCTCATTCCTAATCATCTCTAATTATTTAAGAACTGTTGAAAATGAAAAAAATCTAGTAGAATTGATTTCTATTAATATATTGTTGTTCAGAATGCCTAGCCATCTTATCAGATTTTAAATGTCACGGGTAGTATTTGTAAAAATAGGAACATTCATTTGAAATTCTATTTATAAGATCATTGAAAGGTTCAAAAATTTTAATGAGACAGGAAGAATGATTCCTTCCTGAAATATTATTTATAAAAAGAAACCTCGATTGTCTGTTTTTCTTTTGTCACAATGTTCACATGCCAGACAAGACTTTTTCCTCTTGGTGAAAATTTCAAGGGACTTTTGATGACATGAAGAGTATTTCACATAGATGTATTGGGTAAGAAAGTAAAATTCTGCTAGAATTTTCCAGGTGATATGCTATTTTAATTTTGAGATACTAGTTAAAATAGTTTTCTCATAAAACTAGAAAACCTAACTCTAATTGAATAGATTGAAATATGTTTTTGAACAATAAGATTTTATGTAGAACACGAGAATATAGATTTTCACAATGAAGAATACAAAATGATAAAAGAATCTTTCTGTTAATTGACCTAATAAAAGCACGTCCATCTATAAGGTATGATTACACATTTCTATTTTGAATTCATATTGAAGTAAGTAATAATACTCGTTTTGTATTTGTATTTTTCACTGGTAACTATCAAAAGACCTTGAATAATTATCTGAAAAACAGAAATCAAATATGATTCTACTTTCGAATAATTATTAAAATAATTTTACACCTATTAATCAGTATACATTAGAAATTAATCTTTCGCTCCAAGTAATATTGGTGTATAACCTAATTTTGAAAATTATTTTCTAGTTAAATTCGATTTATATCTTAATAAATAGCTTTTATTCAAACTTATAATCTTATAGTGTATGTATTTCGAAAGTATAGATTAATGTTTTTTCGTTTCGTTAAGTACAAGGTAAAAATGAATATATATAAACAAATAGAATTGTTAAAAATAGTTAATAGTAACCATAAGAATGTCGACTTTGATGATAGGATTTTGGTTGATAATATGCACCTGATTGATGATAAGGGTAATGTGATCCTCCTGAATATTGATAGTATGGTTGTTGATTATAATAATCAGCCATTGCTTGTTGTTCGTACATTTGTTGAACTGTCGTACCGTAAGCTGAACCTACTCTACGTGCAGCTGCTATACCAAGACCAGTTGCAGCAATGACGCCTACTGTACCAGCAGCAAGAGCAGTAGCTACGAATAATCCTGTATGCATTATCTACCAATATACTCAATAAAAAAGTTGTACGTAGATATATATAAGTGACTCTTTTGTTTACCGTTGACTCCCTATAATCACCTTGACGTCAATCGATAAGGACTGTATTTCGTCTAAAAGTATATACGTAATTCGTGTTGAATAAGGGGGGATGAGAGAACGTTATTGATGCAGAAAAAAAACAAACTCAATAGTTAAAAAATAGAAGAGAACATGAATAACACTATCATGGAGATTAATCGAGATTTTTCTCACACAATCCATTTGTTGAAAATAAATTTCAGTATCATTAAAAACAATTACTTCATCATTTAAATAACTTCTTCGATACAGATTTTTATCAAGTTAAAAGACTAATTAGCGAAATGTTTTTATTGTTGCACAATTCTACTAGTACACCTATACAAAGTAACACACTCCATTCTTAATTAAAACTATGATATTTCAGTGAGTTGGACATCATAATGAATTATATTAAAAATTGTACGTGTATCCATTTTGAAAGACATGCAGATCATTTTATTATCTACCATTTATATCATTCATTTGTATTTTCGTACAAAAAATCGATGCATCACAGATCTTTTTTATTCATAGAACAAATTTCTACAGAGTAATACTACAGAAATATAACCCAGATGATTCAAATGATTGAAATAGAACATAAAAACCACGTATTCATCAGATTGTCAGTAGGTGTGTGATAATCTTATAGAAAAACTATCCAGAAAAGACAAAAACATTGTATTATCTCACTACCGAGATAATGATATCTCAACAATACTACGCCATTAGTTTAACCGCTATAAAACTTGTTGGTTTTCATTAAAATCTATTCATATCAATGAATTAGGCGTAAAAATTTTGAATATGCGTAGTTGTCTTCGCCGCAGTTTCATTGATGCGTATAGTTGCTAAGCGGTTGTACATTTAATTACATATATATTATATATTAGTATAAATAAAAATAAACCCTTAGTATATAGTGAGTGTAATCAACATACTTTTATAATTTTAAATATATACATTAGATAGTAGTTTGACAATAATGTAGATCTTTATTTAAAAAATAACTTCACTTATTTTGTCTTTTAAACATTGCTCTATATTTCGGTTGTCGATATCGTTGATAATCGATTGTTTGTGTTGCATCTATCCCATTTCGCATCATTGATGCATCTAAACTTGGTATCATGGTTGGTCTGAGAAAATTTTTACCAGTACACCAAAGATAAATTCTATTCATTATTTTTAATAATTCAACACGAAAAATTTTTGCTGAAAGTGTATAAAAGAAAAATCCAAGCGCATGTGAACCATAAGATAATAAACGTAAAATTGCAGTGATTAAATTCCATTGTGCTTTTTGTACAGCTGTTCGTTGAAGTTGCAAAGTGAGGGTATCCATTAATTTTTGTATTGCAAAGGGAAGAGTAAATATAATAATAACAAATATTTGAAGAAGTAACATTGCTAATAATTGACTATCACGTCGTTTTATTAAATTATTTTTTATTTGATTTCTAGTAATACCTAAAGGTATAACAAGACGACGATTTCGTCGTATATTTCTCAATGTAATTATTCCAAAGATTAACATAAAAATTGGTGGTGCTAAAGCATAAAATATTAAATATTGTAGATCGGAAAAAAGACGATATATTCCAGGTAATGCGTAACATGTTACTGATAATGAAACAGGATCTTTTTGAATGCCAAAAAGAAACAATATATGTGCATATGATATAAAACATATGATACATGTAATTAAACCTACTCGACGAGCAAATAATACTTTATTAAAACGTTGCTTTGCTTGTATACTTGATAACCATCTGTCGATACATGCGAGAACAATAAACCATGTTGATAATGTTCTTGAATAGTAAGTTAAAAAATATCTTATTTTACAAAAAGAATCTGAACGAAGACCTAAATCATCTCCATAACCATCAGATACAATCCTTGTAGTAACAACCCAATACAATACAATAAAATTAGATAATGTATTAAATAATAAATATTGTACACATGAATTATTACAAAGAGATTGTCGAGTAAATATAGCAACATTCAATATGAGACCAATAGTACCGAATATCATAAATGGGTATGGAAAATAACGATTCATTTGAACATTTATGAAATTTAACCAAACTATCTCGGACGACATCGACACGTCTTTTTTTAATAAGTATTTCAAGTATGAATGTAAGCTTTTTTTACGCCCAATGTGACTTTTCCTGTCACCTATGATTATCTGTTCTTGTCATGTTCGCTTTTACAAAATTATATTCAGACATTTTTATTAAAAAATTAAAGATAGAAAAAAAGAATTTGATAAATAAAATTATTAATTATTAGATTCATTAATGCTGTACTTTCTGCTATCGTTAATCGAACAGATTCATTTCATAAAGTATTCTTGATATGACTACAAATTAAATTAAAAGGAAATTAAATTCGTTTGTTTGATAAGTAGAAGATTCTCTTGATTATTCTTTTGTTATAGATTCTATGGAAAACAACGGATGTGTTGTGTTTGACAATGCAACCATTATGACTTATAGAATGATTTGAATTTTTCTAATATCAAACAAAAAGAATAATATACGGTTTGATTGTTCTGTTTTTGAGTAGTAAATTTGTTTTTTTTCTAGTAAAATAACGCAGATCTGTTATTAATTAAAACTTAAGAAAAGTCTAGAATATTTCATATAATTCTTCGTTCTATTAAAATTAACTACAGTCATAGACTTCAAATTTTAGTAAAGAAAATGAAATGACATTTATAATTAAAAATAGAAAACATTATATATTATCCAATATGGTTTGTTATGCACGACAAACTATCCGAAAAAACACGCCTACATTTTCATAATTAAAATCTTATTGTATTTTCTTAATAAGGCTTTCGTGTATTTTATATACAATCTTTATAATAACTTTAGAATATAAGTGCATAATCATATAATAATAATTGATCATTTAATGTTATATTATATTTAATTTAAAAAAAAAATAATCAAGATAATGTAATCATTAATATTAAGAACGAAGCAGGTGGCTAAAAGCAAATATATTTAGGTCATGACAACGACGACGTAATATCATTACTTAGAAAGAAAAAAGTGCATAATCTATTATAGATGTTTTAGAAAAAGACCAGGGTCGTCATATTTGTCAAAAATATAATCGAATATAACAAAAATAGTATTCTTTTATATATGAAAGGATTTGTTTTTATTATAGAGAAAGTTCAAATGATGGAATAATATTCGTTAAAACCAATTATTATGCTAATATTCTCTTTTTGTTGTTGACATTAGAAAATAAACGTCACTCATATTCCTTAGGAAAATATGATCAGTTCCTGTAAACAAAAATTCTATAAATATTGAAAAATCTTATACTCTATATACATCTGATAAAAGTACATTTTTGCCAAATCTGTCTCAACAGTTTTTAATTATATGTCAATGAATTTTTCTGGAAGAATGATTATATTCAAGATAATAATTAATACAACCAACATGAAAGATGAACAGCTGAAGCGACTGTATATATAGCTTTGAGATAAAATTAGATTTTTTAAGCAAGATCAACTTTATTTGTAGTTATAAAAGAAAACATTCGCTTTCAAATTATTATTTCTAGTAATATTTAAAAGCAATAGATGCATATCCCAGATGTATTATTAATCTAGTAGGATGGAAAAACATTATTAGTAGATACAATTACATTTATTGATATTTTGGCCTATAATTTCAAATTAGTTTAGAATATTGTTCAATCTAATTATGAATAAATATGTTATCTAGATCTTTTCGCTAGCATTCTAGGTTATTTTTGAAGTTGTATATCATTTATTATTTATTTACTAATGTAAATGAAGAAAATATTAGATATATTTTTTTTTTCTTGATAAAATAAAAACAAAATGTGTGATGACAAAGAGAAATATGTGTGTAAGAGGTTTCCTGTTCATCTCTGAATAATTGCTAGTATAAATAGCTTTTATTTAATTGATACAACTGAATGAACTTGTCAATAAATTGACCTATAAAACAGAAATATTTATTCGTGATTACGCAGTTATTTCCTATTCTGAATTTTATCCAAATTTATTTATATAACATACGATATCCATGACGAATTAATTATTCATAAATATGGTTGTATAATATTCATTTATTATAATACTATTTGACAGATATTTTTTTAGAATTCGGAAGCAAAAAATAATGCTTAATAGGTGGAGAAAATAAAATTAAGTGGAAAGGAAGTAAATATATATAATCTACTATTATAGTTAGAAAAGAAAAAGAACACACATAGTCGATATTTTTTTCTGTTTAAAACTCAACCTTATTTCAAACCATTACACGGAAATGTCTCATATTTCTATTTATTATTGATTATAAAACTAATATTGATTCTATTATTTTAACAAAGACACACGCTCCGTAAATGATAAGTTAAGGTAGTCGATACATAGAAGTAATTGAATCGATGACAAAAGAAATAAGTATGTCAGGCAATTATAAAAACAACAAAAAAATGTGTGGGTTCATATACCGGAAAAGAATAATATGAGATCTGGAGTATATCAATTCAATTTTGATAAATAATGCATTGTTTTGTGAATACTCGTTTACATTTACTTGAAAAGAGAAAAGAAAAACTTTGAAGTATTATCATCTTGAATACATCGTTTTAATTTTTCTTTTTCTAAAAAAATAGAAAAATCTATCGCTGGTTACTTCTATGCATTTTTATTGTTTCCTATCTGATTTTTTGCTTTTTCTTTTCCGAAGCACTGACACTACTGATTATGTTGACGGAAATTTCTCGTTCTTTTATTCTTTGTCATGCACTTAACTATGAATAGAACAACTTCAGGCTGTAATTTTCTTTTCGTGCATCACTCTCACTGACTAGTCCTTTAGATAAGACATATTGAAAAATATTTTTGATAATCTCTGTAGTTTCATGTCTTTTACTTAACATGCAACATACTACTTATAAACTGTAAATGATATTTGAGACACATATATAGCTTATTTTCCGATAAAAACATCGTTTAGTTTATAGATTTAATGATTTTTGTAAGTTAACATAAATAAGAACAAAAAACAATGTATGTAATCAATGGGAAGTAACATTTTTCCATTAATATATATAGAACATCGAGGTTTTACGATTGTAATCTTCATTAAACGTAATTAAAATGAGGAGGAAGAAAACGGAATACAAGTAAACATCCGCTTTTTATCGTTTGCTAGCGCTTTTATTTCTCTCATGAGTATCAATAGTGAGAGAGAGAAAAAAATTGTCGCATTGGATTTGCACACTATTGTCATGCACGCTTGATAAGCATTGTGACATTTTCTACAATGAATCGAGTACTCTCTATCTTTCTTCTTTGTTTTACTCTTGTTAAGAATTACTATATATATACTTAAGTCTTCATTATTACTTTTTATTGTCTTATTTATATATTTATTTCAATAAGGTATTCGTTATTTTGTCTTCTTTTTTTGCTTACTATACAAATGATTATATGTAGAAGGACAAAAAAATATGTTTTATATTACGGTTCACATAACAAATTCTTTTTTCCTTTTCCTCACTATATGAAGTCTTACTCTTATCTTGCTAGCTTGAACTATAATCTTATTTCAGTATTTATCATCAATGGCAACAAATATAACTCTTGATTCAAGTCGGGATCTTCGACATACACGATTAGTTCTTCTATCTACACTTTTTCTAATTGGATTAACCGGTTGTTCGATTGTTATTTATTGGTTAATACGCTATGCAAGATGGAATATGAGATCTTCTCGTATATGTTCACTTATTCTTAATCTAGTCATTGCTAATCTATCTGTATATATTTTTGCAACTGGCATTCAAATTTTTTGGGAATTTCAAATAAATCGACAATGGCCATTTAATGATTTTCTATGTAAATATAAAACAAAGCACAAAAATGGAAATTTTACATTTAAACTTTATTTTAGGTCGTACAGTAAAATTTTTTCAAAGTTTTTCCATTCTTTCAGCAACTTATATTGTTGTTATAATGGCTATTGATCGTTGTATTGCAATTGTTACGCCATTAAAAGCTGGTAAAATTCGTGTAAGTGATATCAAATAATAAAAAAAAGAAAACTTTATTTATTAAATTTAAATAGGTACTCTATTTATGTGGAGGTGCATGGTTTTTAGCTGCTCTTTTATCAACACCAAATATATTTATATTTCATTTACGTATTGATGGTTCTGCTCGTTATTGTACAGCTGTATTTAACCAACAAACGACTCGTACAGGTCGTCGTATTTATTTAACATTCATATCACTTGTTGTTTATTTTATACCATTTCTTGTTCTTGTTCTTTGTTATACATTTATTTTTATTAAATTATTATGGCGTGAACGTGATCAACAAAGCAGTTTTCTTGCACAATCATCGTTATGCTGTTCATGTTTATTTGATATCAAAATGGGTAATGCAACAAAAATTATATTAGACGAAACGCGTACAAGATCAGCATCGAATCGTTCATCATTTACTGAATTTGATGCAAGACGAAAACGTGCAAATACTTATGCAAAAGCTCGAACAAAAACATTTCGCATGGTAAATGAAATATTTTTTTTTAAGATAATTTTTATATCGTCATTTAAGTTAAATTAAATTTGTTTTACACAATTGAGAAAAACTTCAAGTCATATGATAGAATCATGAATAGAAAAATACTTCTCATATATATTAAATTTTTAATTAGCAAGATGAATAAACTTAGAAGAGATATTAGAAATACTAATTTATATATTAATAATTATTTTTTTTCTATTATTTATATTACTTTATTGCAGAGAAAATTATTAATCACGCAAAAATAAGTTAGTGTGAGAGGTTTCTCGTACATTAATAATCTGTTACATCGATATATGTCAGTATGTGTACTCTACATACAAAACTAATCTCCTAAGTAATTCTAATCTTTTTGCCAGTTAACAGTTACCTACGCAAATTCTTAGTAAATAAATCCATCGTAAAAATGATGATTATTTTATTGTATTATTCTGTCAGATTTATATTAAAACTCTTTTTTTTTACTAAATCATAATTTTCTTATCTACAGATTATCGTTCTTGTCTTGTTCATGATTATATTCGGTGCACCATATTATTGTTTGGAATTATATGTTGCTTATAGTGGTCGGAAACCAACTGATTTAGTTCTAGCTTTAGCTGGTGGAGCAGCTGTTGCTCCGTCATCATTAGATCCATGGATATTTCTCTTATTTTGGGCTAATTGGAATCAACCAACTAATGCTGGTAGTAGTCGACGTTTAGGTCATATTAGTCTACAACAAAAACAGCAACAACAACAATGTATTCAAGTACGACGAACTATTCGAGCGAATACAAGTGGTACATCATCATCAACTGATCCACGTCAACATCAACATGTTCTTCTTGTTGGTCAATCACCTGTACTACCTTATACTATCAGATGGAACACAAATAATAACAGACAGAAAACATTATAATACATAGGTTTTAAACGAAAAACAAAATTATTTTTGTTATATTGATTGAAGTAAACAGAGAAAAATGCAAAGCAGTTCTTCAAAATGTTGATAGACCACGTTTCATTATAAATGTCGTACACTATCAAAATAAATTGTTATAACTTTAAATCGACAATTATTACCAATAATAGTTTCTGTTGGTTTAAGTATTTTTTAAATAAATATATAAAGTAGCAAGCTTATGTTCAAAAAAAAATTTGTTGCATCTGTTTTCAATATTCTATGTGGTTCAGAAAGAACTTTTTTATCTGGGTACACTGCATAATGCTAATTTCATTATGAACGTATCAATACTATTTGATTCACTTTCATGTAGATCTGTTGCTAAATTATTCAAAACACATACGCTATACGGAACATGATACTGCTTAAAAAAACCACTAGAATATTAATACCTATAAATATTCGATTCAATTTCGAGATAGGATTTTATATTTGTATTAATATATAAACGGGAAAGTTTAATCTCTATGCCCGATTTACTTTCTATTGTGTGACCTTTAACATTGTATTGTTGCAAAAATCTATCACATTGAAGATTTATTACATATCTACGGTATACATCAGCAAATTTGATTAAATATTTGGCAAAAGATAGATAATATCTGTTGTACTAAAAATAACTCTTTTGAATTCATTTCTTTTTCAATAGATATTCTTTATTCTTAAATATCTAGTGTCAACTGAGAATAGTGTGATAATTATTGAGAAAATTCCAGATAGATATTTTTAAAGAAAGAATTTCTTCGGATTCAAAGTACATTTTATTCATAATTATTAAATATGACAAAGTGTACTCTACATCGCCTTTTTGTCATTTCTTCTTCTTCTCAATGATAACAAGTGTGACCCATAATGTAGTAGAATATTTTAGTACAATATGTCTTCGAAACTCTTGCCGAAATATTAATATTCCAAACGATTTTACTATAGAATGATTCCTATACTTTTGGGAATTATTCTATACATCAATATTCTATTAAAGAAACTTCTTCATTTAGAACTGTCGATACATAATTTGATTCATGCTAAAAACTATTAAATACATTCATAAAAATTTGATACGCGATAAAAATAAAATGCACGCGTTGTACTTGTGATGCTAGATTGAATTGGGTCATGAAATTAATTTTAATACAGGAACAATATACAAATGATATTCATGCGTCTAGAGTTAGATTAATTCTGAAAATTTATTTCCAGCAGAAGATTACTCAAGGTGAAAATGAATTTCCTAGTGCAGTTCACCGTATGAAAGCATGATTTTTATAATGATACCGATTTCACACTCTAACTTAATGAACGGAATACATAGACTATTTGAAAAGATCCCACACTTATTCCATTGTAAACAATAATAAGAGTTTATGCTTATCAATTACCGTTAGTCTACATTGAAAACAATAATCTCAGTCAGAATATATATATATTCCAGTTAGCAGAGTTTATTATGTCTATTGAAGGAGTACTGTTTTATCCAGTCAATCGGGAAACGTCGTGAACATCCTACGTATATGCATCATTCTGATTTATTTGTCTTCATAAACCTTTAATTCAATTCGAATAGATTGTGAGATAAGCTTATCTTAAATACTCATGCATGACATAAACAACTGGTGTGTATTCATATGTGATTTAATCAATATACGTTTTATTGGATTTTGTCCTATTCGAGTGGAAATCTAAATTATTCAAGATTATTGATTACAAGATTTTTATAAGTTTTTCATGAATTACCTAGAAACGATTGTTATTTTCCTATATAAAGAGAAATACAATAAAAAAAACTCGATTTTATACAAGTAAACACTGAAGAGTTTCTAAAGAATATGGATTTTGATGAAGAAAAAATAGGTTATTATTGACTTCCATTCAAATATATTCCCATGCTCATGGAAATTGGTATACAGAAAAATAAGTACTCGAATACTCATGTACCAAGGAAAAAAAATGACTTTTGATAAATTAAAATCAAATTTAACTGACATTACTGCGTCTCAAAAAGTAAAGATATTAAATAACGTTAAAAGGTTTTTTTAAAAACAACTGAATTCCGTCTTTTGATTGAATAGTCTTTGCTTTTTTTCTACTATTTAAATACAGATAAATCAATGTTTAGTAAGGATCAGTGTATAAATAGGTATTGTAGACTATTTCCCTTTATTTCACACCGAGCTGTGCATCGACTCTCTACCAATGAATACTGTTATATGGTGAATGCTTCTAACTAATTCTGATGATGTTTTCAGCAGAAAGAGATTTTACTTTAAACATATACATGGATCTAAAAATTTTCGTAATTATATGTTGGGTGGTTGATAACTTTTTACCTTTTAGAGATAAGTTTTTGATATTTGTTTTTCAATTTCAGACAATAAACTCTATTTCTCAGGTCATGCACTTTTTCTCCAAGGTTCACTCAGGAAACTGAATAACAATCGGAAATAAACTGTCTGATTTTCAAACTCGACAATTACCTAAAAAAACTTAATAACTCCTCTTCTTTTTCTGTTATCGACAATTAGCTAAAAATATTAAATTTTACTATATAAAACGACATAAAATCATATATTGCTATCATTAACAAAATGTATATGTCTATGAAATCATGTATTCTACTATTTTTCATCATTCAGTTAGTTGCTACGTATACATGTCCACAAAATTCGCAATTCTATATTGAATGTTCGAATTTATATACACTAAATCAATCCATGAGTTTTTGTTCTCAATATGGAATGAATTTAGTAAATTTAACAAATTCAACAAATTCAGCAAATATATCTTTATCGATGAATCAAGCTCTTCAATTAAAAAATTGTTCAAATAATTTTTGGTATTCATATGGTAGTGACACAGGTCTTGTTGGCAATGTTGGTTCATTAACAGGTGGTATAGTATGTTCAGCAGTTCCTCTTTTAGGTCTTTATTGTGTATCATCATCGGTAACTCAAGCTGCTACAGTTTGTGTTCGAAAAGATCAAATAGATATGAAACAAAAATGTTCCACTGATGATATCAATCAACGTTCTGATGTTCAAAAGTCTTTATTTATTCGAAAAACGATATATGGTACCATACTCAATGTATTCTATTCTCGCAGTGCAGCACAATGTGATAGTATATGTTCCAGAACTGACAGCTGTATTGGCACAAATTATAAAAACTTTAATTGTATATTTTATTTATAAATCCTAATTTTTTTTCATCAATTATAATAAATCATGTGAAGGTTTTGGTTTTAATCTATATTTAAAAAATTCTAATGTTATAAAATCACCAACTGTAGTTGGATAAAATAAAGCCAATGATCGACATTTATGAAGATATTGTCCATAACAATATCCATTTTTAATATGAGCTAATGTCACTTGATCTTCATGATATTGAATAAAACATTGATCATTTTCACATTTTGTCTGTGTATAACGTTCATGAAATGCATCTCGTACACATTTCCATAAATGTTTTTCACGTGCAGCTGGATGTAAATGTCGTAAGCATGAATCCATTAATTGAGTATTACGTATAAGATCCAAAGCTTGACCATTTAGAATATAAGCACTTGCTTCATGTTGTTCATGAACAATAATTAATGGTAGTTGAGAATCATTTGAATATGAACTTAGAAGTAATGGTAATTTTTCATGAAAAACAAATGTTGGAGCAGGTACAATGATTAATAAATCATTATTTGAAATATATTCATTTGAACTTATAGAATCACGCATTACAATAAGAATACGTTTCCATAAATTTACATAATATGATAATTGTGGAACATCAAAGTCTAAAACAATCAGATGACTTCAAAAAAGTTTTTCTGGTATTGAAAATACAAAATATAAGGATTATACTTTTGATTGTAAAATTAGAGCTAGCTAATATAATTGTATGACGACGTTTTTCGTAAATAGATTATTTCTAGTAATGATAATAGTTTTCATAATTAGAGTAATGGAATGTGTATCAATAAAATCTATAGAATTATTTTATTTCATAAAGATCTCAAAGATAAAAACTAACGTTTTTAAATTATAATATGAAGGTTCATCTCGAAATATTTCTCATTCTTAATGATACTAGAATTAAAATCAAGTGATTAATTTATTCTCAATAAACATAAGATTTGAAAATTTCATGAATTTTAATTAACTTACCATCATCCGATTTTTGTTCTCGTCTAAATCTTGCAATACCAGTCTTATAACAACGTTGACCCCATGTAATATTACTTAATTGTATAAATTGTTCATGTTTTGAATCTGTATGTATTAAAATACAGAAGAGACGTGCATCATTACCTTTTATATTTGTAATTGCTTTAATTATTGTTGGATCAGATTGAATTAGGTATAATATTATTGAAAATGAGCTTAAAATCAGTAAAATTGTAACAAAACGATGACGAGAAAGTCGTCTTTTGCATATATACACCATGATGATGTGTAAACATGAAAAGTGGTAAAAAAAAAGAACGAATAAAATTGTAAGATCTAATCCATGATTCTGTTCGTTTTTTTCCTTTTACAAATATAAAATCATTTAAAAACTTACGTTGAGAAAAGAATGAAAGAAAGAATAACTTGCAATTATTATTTTTCATCTAGACTTTTATTATTTCTTTTCACAAAAAAAAAGAACAAACTTTACTACAATAAATTAAATAATACGTAACTCAGCTGGTTTACCCATTTTAACAATATACTGTCTTTGTTTATTACTATCTTCATCTTTAACAATTATATTATGTAATTGTTCACGTTCATTAATTCTTTTTTCTTCAACACATTCACCTTGTTCACCTAATAACCATATATCATTACCATTTATAGCTAACCATGAACGATCATCAAATGGTGTTATATAAGTTCCTAAACCACCAGCTTTAAGATTAACACCACGATACATTCGAACAAGTGTAAAATCGAATATATCTACACGCCATTGTTCATTTTGATTTTGAGAACCTTTTTCAGTTTTTTGTTGTTTTATACAAATAGCTAAACATGTTTCATTTGCACGTATACATGATATAAGTCGATCATCTGATTCAAATATATCATGATACCATCGTTTAATAAGAGAAGCTGATAAAAATGACCAACGTTCAATATTTGTACGCGAACCAGATGTTGTAAGAGCAAAAAATGCATCAGATGAGTTTGGAATACAAGCAATTGATTGATAATGACTACCTAATAAATAATATAGATTTTTTTTCTGTAGCAAAGGATTAAATATGTTTATTTAAAGTATATGCTTATACTACGACTTGAATATTTAGAGAGTCAATCAAGAAGGAGATTAAAAGTTTAGTATGGTAAACGGAGCTTGTCCGACGTTCTCTAAACTACTATAGAGCATTGCTTTAATCATCCTCATACGAATATAATTTAAATAGCAGGAGCTTTTCAAATTTTGTTTGTCTTTAAATAAGTTGAAAATACAAAAAGATATCAAAGTATAGCTTTTTCTATGATACGAACAACTCTTCAATATATATGCAACGGTCACACTTCTATGGATCATAAACCAGGCTAGTTTTAAAATTACACACTACTCTGAAATGAACGAAGAGACGTCATATTAATTTTTAATCTCAAGATACTTTGATTTTAGTTGAACTTTGATCCATGTCTATCCTTTATAAGAATGATATTTAAAATATTTCTATCGTATTTGTATGAAAAAATATGACTATGAATCAAAAAGTAAATTTAAACAAGTTTATCAATTGTGACTAATCTACACATAATATTCAATTTAACAGACATTAATTAGAAATACAAACAAAAATATGTTGTAATAAACCCCATTGGAGAGAAAAATTTTAAATTCAGCTACTTTTTTCGTTTATTGTAAGCATTTCGTTCAAGAAGAAAGAACTTTAATTCTTTTCTCAGTAAGTAAATTATTATGGAGATATATTAAGTACGAACTGAAAGACTATTTTTAGTTTGCTCAACTTTTAAGTATATATACTCATTTATGTAAGCACTTCCAATTTAAAACTCATTACTAATATCATACATTTATTTGGTCGGAACATTATATATCTGTTTCTTGTGTATTTTAAATTGTGTAAGTAAACATGATAAATCTTGTAAACAATATATTACTAATTACATTTATACCTGTACTTGGTTTTAATTGCTCAATCTTGTCTAATGTTGACATATGTGGATCAATTGTAAAAAAATTTAATGATGATAAAACACAAAACTGTCCAAGATAATTTGAATATGTAAGATCTTTAATTGAACCAATAAATGAACCATCCTGTTTTGTTTGCCATGGAATCTCATTAATACGACGTTGCTCATCAAATAAAACTAAATGATCGTCATCTTCAATAAGCATATGATTATCATCTGACACGGCTATAAATGGTGAATGACATGAATCAAGTATAAAACGACGTTGCATCTTTGAAATATTATCAAGACTAGATAATTCAGCATTTTCACGTTGAATACCTATATGAACGACAAAAAAAAATAGAATTACTAAAAGAAAACGATATATAATTTTACTTTTAAGTATTTCAATCTGTTCAACTAATTTTTTTTCATCATTACTAATTTTTGCTAATAATCTTCCAAATACTTGTAAATCTGAATCGGTTTTAGTTATTTTCTTTTTTATATCATTTAATTCTTGTTCAGATAAATTTTTACGTCGTTCAATAACCACTTTACTTAAATTGGGTATTATCTCTTGTCTTAATATAGCTGAACGACGTTGTTTCAATTGATGTAAACGACCTGTTAATGAATCAAGTTTATTTGTTGTCGTTAAATGAATATTATTTATTAAGGAAAACATTTCTGTACGCCAATCATCCAATGTACGACGTGCACTTGTTAGATCATTTTCAATTTGAAGGCCATCGATTAGAGTTAATAATGAACTAGCACGTGTATGCAATATTTCAGCGTGGGAAGACATTGAAAAATAATGTTTACATATATAGAAAAATATCTAGAATAAAGCAATTATTATTAAAGAATATTAGTCGTATATTTGTATGCATTGTATATAGTTAAGGATTGATTTTTATCTTATTAAAATTAAATTAAAAGCAAATAATCTTTATTCTATCAGTTTTATGTAATAGATTAGACAGAATATTTTGTATCAGATGATCTTTTGAGAGGATACGTGTTCAAGTGTTAGATATATATAACTATTTGGAATCTGTTAAGTACTATTAATTTACTTATGACCATTTGCAGACTAAATTAAAAAGTATAGGAACATCTATTCTAGAAATTGATATTACACATGCATATATATAATGTATAATACGGACAAAACTCGTTTACTCTCCTAGAATTAGTTTGTCTTTCGTTTTCGTTTTTTTTGATTAGTTATGAATGAGTCACAAGTCTAGGCTTAGCGCTACACTCAACGTTAATGATTATTAGTCGAATTTATGTCTCCACTACACTATTACATTAGTCTATTGAAGCAAAAGGACCATTGCAATTGATAACTTATTTTGATTGGTACGTCAAAAATTCCTATCATATTAGTCAGATGTTTTCAAACATTGTCGTCTAATGAATTCTTCTTTTTATCATTTTTGCATCATCTTCCTTTCATTGTTTTAAAAGATAATGTGGGTGAAGCCTTCAGTGGTTTTGGTGAGAAACTTTTTTTTCAAACCTGTTAAATATTTAACTGTATTCTATTTATTTTTTTATAGGCAACAGGATTATGGTAAAATAATTTTTAATTTTTTCGAATTTATCTGATCATATTACTTAGGTCAACTGATCGAGCTAATCCATATTTTGTACTGCAACGTCGTCGAGGACATGATGAGCGACGTAGTGGTTTAATGAGTCTTTTTGTGTCAACTATGGATTCTGTCTTAGATAATAAAGTAGAACTGTCAATAAATCTTACATATTTATTTCAATTAAAAATTTTTAATAGACAAATCATTATCGTATACTTCATGTTCGACCAGATTTTGACGTTAATTATTGTAAATCCTTCATCTTGTTAATAAGTATTATAATCTATGTAAATTTTAGTGATAGCTGAAGCAGGTAAAAAAGAAGAAATTGAAGAACATTGGAAATGGATCGAAGAAAATTTAATGCCAAAACTAAGTAAATAATTGAGTATTTAAATGCTTGTTTTTTACGATCAACTATAGGCGAAATTGATGTTCCTCATGATATAACTGATTTTGTACAATGGAAGATAAAGAGTTTATGTACACAAGCTGATAATGAAGAAATTGAAGGTAAAAAAATCGAATAATAATTCTTAATGTAATTTGAAAATATTTTCTAGATTTTGAATCGGACAAATTCAAAGATGCAACAAAAAAATTTTATAACATATTTAATATGCCAGCAGACGAAAAACTTGTTATTTGTAAATATTTTGTAAAAAAATTATTTTTTGTTTTTAAAATATTTATTTTCAAGATTATTCCTGTTCTTTTTGGCGTGGTCGAGTACCTCGACAAGGTGTACTGTATTTATCTGTAAATTATCTATGTTTTTATTCAAATTTACTTGGAAAGGATATAACACTTGTAGTTAAATTTACAGATATTATTGTAAGTACTATTTAATATTGAATATAAATATATAGAAAACAAAATCCTTTTTTTAGTCTATTGATCGTGTACATGCTTTTGTATCAGAAGCAATACGAGTACGAACTCGTTTATATGAACATGATTTTGGAATGTTTAGAAAAATTGAAGAAACATATCATATAATGGAACAGATAGCAAATTTTGCAGCTAAAAAGTAATATTTTATTTATGTTGTCGAGAAAGTTATTAACAAACTTTTTTTTCTATATGTAGATTGTTATCTCAGAAAGGTGCATTTCAAGAAGAAATTTTCTTTCCAGCTGTAACAAAGTACGTATCTTTGTTTTATTTGAAAAATATAAACATTGCAATAAGATTTTAACAGATTAGTTATCATAAATTATTCTTCTATGAATGAAATTGAAGATTTTTCAACTATTTTTTTTCAATCAGTCAGTTCTTCTATATTCATTTGTAAAATTTGAAATCCTTCTTATGTTGGAATCATCGATATTTAATCATGTCGAATAATAAAAACTTAGCTACGAAGTGACAGACGTATACAGATATATATATCAAGGCGCATCTATAATATTCATAAAAAGAATTATTAATCAATTAATATTTCATACTTTTCATAGTCATATCAGTCGTATTTTTTAACTTTCTAAAATATATTTAAAATTCTGTTTTTTTAAAATAATTTTCGCTATTTAATCGGACCTTTCTTTTAGAAAAACAGCACCAAAAATTATATCTCAGTTAAAACGTGATTTGGATGCTAAATCTCGTAGCGAAGCATATCGATATCGTTTTCGCTTACCATTAAATGAACGTTTAGATGGTGAAATTGAATGTCATTTATGGACACCATATAATCGTACGAGTGTCTCTGGTAAACTGTATATATCATCTAATTTTATATGTTTTACTAGTAAAGTAAGATATGAAAAAATAAAACTCTTCTTCTTTTTCTTAATGAATATATTCTTTTAAGAATTATCATCAAGTAAATTTAATTATTCCATTTCGTGAAACATTGCTTGTTGAAAAACGACGAGATGATTCAAAGGTATCGGATATAAATATTCCATCAGCATTATATATAACAATGAAAGAAAGAGTAAGATTAAATAATTCAAATCAAAATTTTTAATACTTTCTATTATTGAAGGGTGAAATATTTATTTTTTCACATTTTACTGATCGACCATTTATTCATAACAAGTTGTCTGATTTATTAACACAATATGTTGAATCAACAATATCCACTAATGGTATTCCAGATATAAGTGAGTTAATTATTCATTTGATTTTAATAAATAAAGAAAAATTTTGTTGCTCTAGCTATATCGCCACCACTTTATTTACAATTTAATAGTAATTATACAGATGAACAACGAGCATTTGAAAAAATCCGAGAAACTGATTGGCATGCACATTTTCTAACCTATGGACGAGGTTCAACAATGTATCGAACAAATGATCTATATGATCTATTATTTCAAGGTATACCAGATTCATTACGAAATGAATTATGGCTTATATTTAGTGGTGCAATATATGATGTTAGTAATAATCAACGTAAAAATTTCATTTAATAAATTTCTTCTTTTCTTTAATTTATAGAAAGCAGCCAATAAAGATGTTTATAGAAGATGTGTTTATGAATCATCATCTGATAAAACAGCCCAAGACGTTATTAATGACGAAATTGAACGTGATCTCCATCGAGCTTTACCAGATCAAAATGCATATCAAAGTAAACCAGGAATTGATGCATTAAGACGTTTATTACGAGCATATGCATGTTATAATACAGATGTTGGTTAGTAGTCAAAGTCTTCTATTATATATATATATTGTTTTTATGCTATTATTTCATCTAGGCTATTGTCAAGCTATGAATATAGTCGGTGGTGTATTTTTACTATATATGAATGAAGAAGATGCATTTTGGACATTAGCAGCATTATGTGAAAGACTTTTACCAGATTATTATAATACGAAAGTGGTTGGAGCATTAATAGATCAAGGTAGATTTTGATTTAGATAAATATATTATCCTGATATAGAAAATAAAATATTTCTCTATTAAAAATATACATTTGTTTTGACATATTCTTCTACAACACATATCTCTTTCAAGTTATTCTAGTTGATAAAAATGAGAAATTGTCTATGATTCATTTAATCGAAAATTAATATGCCAGACGTACGTTTAAAAAAATAACTACCAGCAATTTACCTTTTCACACATTTTTCTATAGATAGTTGAGTTTTTTCATTAGCCGTGACGAAACTAGACATGCAGTCAAATCATTCGTATCATGTTTACTCAAATAAGAAGAAATCTTAATAATTGTAGTAAACTATACACTAGAATAAATCAAAAAATCCAGATTTAACTATTTATTATTATACTTTCTTATTAATATGATATGTTTGAATTATATCATTATCGATATTTATAGGTGTATTCAATCATTATTGCAAAGAATATCTACCTGATTTATATGATAAATTAAAAAATCTTGGCATAGCTGCATGTATTAGTCTTTCTTGGTTTCTAACTTTATTCATTTGGTAAGAAAAAAAACTAATAATTTCTTATACCTTTTCTTAATCTTGTTCTATATTTCTTTTAAGTGTCATTCCTCTTGAATCAGCACTATATGTTATTGATATATTTTTTTATGATGGTATCAAAGTTTTATTTCAATTAGCATTAACAATTTTAAATGAAAATCGTCAAGATTTATTAGATAGTGAAGATGATGGTGATGCAATTTCAGTTTTAACAAAATATTTAGAAAAACTATCTGATACTAAAAATACTAAAGATGAAAACAAAATTATTCATTTAATTAAAAAATCTTATGCTCAGTATAATGGTATCAATGAAGAAGATATCAATCGTTTACGTTTAAAACATCGTTTAAAAGTTATACAAAATATGGGCGAATCATTATTACAATCAGCTGCAAAAAATACTCTTAGATATACTAAATTCGATGAACAACAGATCAAAAATATTTTTTATGTTTTTAAAGTAACAAAAAAATAATTTAAATAAAATTTTGAAAATTTTATTTATAGGATGTTTCACGTATATCATTAACAGAAGCAAATGATCCAAGAAAATTGGCTTATGAAACATATAAAATTAATCGAAATGAATATTTAATTTTATGTAAATATTTATCACCTTGGTTTATTGGTAAACAACCAGAAGATTTAGCAAATAAATTATTTGATGTAAGAAGAATATATATAAATCGAAAAAATCTTTTCATTTTCTTTATAATAGTTATTTTGCTTGAGCACAGCACCAGATCAAATTGATTTTATTCATTTTATTCGCTTATGGAGTATTCTATGGAATGAAGATTTCCAAAAGAAATTAGTTATTTTATTTCTTGCACATTTAGAAAGTTTGTTGAAATTTTTAACGTAATTATGTTTGTTTTAATACAAACTTTTATTAGATAAAAATGTAAGAGAAGATGGTTTTAATCTTGTATTCGAACCAATTCCAGTTCGTTCACCATCAATAATTAGTGAGAATCGATCAATTGATTTAATTACATCAACAAAAGAACAACAATTACCATCATTTAAAATAGAAAATTCTGAAGTTACACATCTCAAACCTAGTCGATTACCTCTTATGAATCAGGTAAATAAATAATATACAATTGTAGTGCATCCTACTTATGAATTGAGACTATCTAATTGAATATCAGCCTACGAGAGAAAACTTCTGTTAATGGGAAGAGCACTGATTAAAAGTGTTCCGATAAGTGTATCCAAACGAACCTTATAATATCTGATTAGCGAACAAAATCCGTCTATAAATATCTTTATCATGATCATATCGAATCCGATAAGATACAGCTATTGCACCAAGCATTCTATCTATGTCCCGAATATTGATCTAAAATATCGTAAAAGAAAAACATTCGTTTTTTTATAGAAATTGATAATTACCTGTTATAGAGCAATGTTGGAAATAATATAATGTTTTAGTTTATCCATAAGACTATGTGATACTTCATTATATCTAATTAATTATGTTGTTTATGATTTAGGTTGAATTTATACATCTATGTAAATCTATGTATAGTTTAATGACTGGAGCTGATAATGATGAAACTTTATTTAAAGCATTGACAACTTCAAGTACAGTTCTTTTACAAATGGGTTTGTTTGAATTTTTATTTCTAAAATTTTCTTTTCATTGATTTTTCTTCTTTGTTATAAAGGTGAAATGTGTAAACCTTATCGTCTAGTTGAAGTTGATAATAGTTCAGATGATACATGGACTATTAGTTTTGAACAAGTAGAACCTGCATTGAATGTTGAAACATGTTTAGTACAATGGTTTGATAATAACAATACAAATACTTCATCACTTGAAAAACGTATTCATAATTATCATCAAGATATTCTACGATAAATTATTTTGTACATAAACAAAAAATAAATCGTAATCATTCTTTTTTCCTATTGATACACACGCAATGTATATGTATATTAACAGTGAATATATCCATGTATTTTTTTTTCTTTTGTTACAAACAGACATCTTAATGCTTTCATTTTTTTTCTCTCAATTTTTGTGTTATTGGCTAATTTAAAAGAAAAAAGAGAATAAATTTTTTATATTTTGATCGTTTAAGTTCGATAGTAATATTCTTGTCTTCTGCTGAATGAATTTCGAATTTAAAACAATATATTGAAACATAAATGAAAAGAATCTAATCAGAATATGTGTATTTGTTTAGTAGAAAGAAAGAAAGAACACTTTCTTTACAATTGTTATAAAATATATGGTTTTTCGTATTAAAACATATGATAAACAACTGTTATCTGATAAGATACGATGTGCGCGTGTTTAATATCATTTGTTTTCTTGGTATGTAGGTTTTGAGAAGTTTAAACTAAATTATGTATTCTAACTAATGTGGTTTTATTTTTGATTTCGAGAACATCCTTTATGTTTACTGACAAATTATATGAAATACTTCACACTATCAATTATCGATATTTATATTATAATCTTAGCAACCGTAGTTATTTATTTATTATTCGATAAATATTATAATGAAGTTGTTATCTTTAGTGATAATATGTGTTTAGTTATTTCATATATCTATACGAGTTCATATTATCTGTTCATCTTCACATAGTAATTATATATATATATAAGATGAGCAGATATGTAGATAAAGGAAATGAGCCATGACCGTCATCTATTGTTATAACTATACGCTTGATGAATAAGCAGTTAATTTCGGCTATTTTATGTGTGAAATACAGTCATAAAATCTATGAGTGAAATATAATTATTTTTTTTAAATTTATGAAAGTTTAGAATACCTATAATCTATTTTCTAGATAATAGTATGAGTAATCAAACATTTCTTGTCGGTACTGGAATTGATAGTATTTATGCATGTAGTCTTACATCGACTGGTCAAATAGAATTACTTAATGAAACAAAATGTGGAAAAGCTTCAACATGGCTTTTACCACGTGATGATCTATTATATATAGTCAATGAGCAAGATGATAAAATAGAAACATTTACAATTGATGATCGTAATCAAGGTAAATTAACATTGAAAAATACGATTTCATCAAAAGGTGATACACCCTGCGCATTGGATTTCGATCCCTCAGGTAAATGGCTTGCAGTAGCTAAGTATGTATATTATTAAAATAAAAAATAGAAACAATATTCTATCGATTATCTATTACGTTCTAGTTATGGTGATAAAGGTGCATCTAATTTTACATTTTTTCCATTGAATGATTGTAAACAACCCGAAGAAAAAGGTGCTCAAACAAATACAGTCGAAGGATCTGGTCCACATCCTACTCGCCAACAACATTCATATTGTCATCATGCATTATTTCATCAAGGTTATTTATATGTTGTTGATTTAGGAACCGATACAATAAGTGTATATCATTTTAATGATACCAATGGTGAAGTTAAATTAATTAATAATCAAATAAAAACAGAAGCAGGTGCTGGACCTCGTCATATTATTTTTCATCCAACTAAACCGCTAGCTTTTGTATGTAATGAATTAAATTCAACAACAAATGTTTATCGAGTAGATTCTTCGTCTGGTGAACTTGAATATATTCAAACAATAAAAACACGACGACAAGATGATGAAAATGGTTATAAATATACATATAAAAATATATAATGTAGTTTTATTTATTTTAGATTCAAGTAAAGAAAATTATCCAGCTGAATTACAATTTACACCCGATGAAAAATATCTACTTGTGTCAAATCGTGGCGATGAAAATCTTGTTATTTTTAATTTAAATGAAAATAATGAGAAAGAAATTTTAAGTGTCAAAGAACATCTTGATTGTCATGGTTCATTTACACGATATTTTACATTTGATCCAACCGGAAAATTTCTACTTATAGCTAATCAAAAATCAAATAATTTAGTTTGTTTTTCATATAATCGTGATAATGGTACATATACATTTATTTCACAATTGGATAATATTCAAAGTCCTCAACATATGATTTTTTTAAATAAATGAATTTATTTAGTTTGAAATCGATTTCTTGTATTATCAGCATATTTCTGATTTTTTACAAATAAATTTAGAATGCTGAATTCTGTAGTGAGTACATCTTATTCATTTTTATCTTTTCTCATTGATATTTACATAAACCAAATATGATATAGTTGTGTAGGACTTTGTTCCTGCTATATTTTTATTTAAAAAAAGCATAGTAGACATCGAATGATAAGACAATATTTAAACTAGAAAAGCTTTATTAAAAGCATGTCTTTGTTTTGAAATATGAATATTTATTTTATTTCTTGGACGGCTTTCCATGATGGTCGTGATGTGATTTTATCCCACCATTTTTTAACATTTGGTCGAGATTCAAAAAAGCTACCTTCACCGATTTTAACGAGCCATGCACCATATGGTAAATGGAACAGATCAGCCAAAGTAAATTCCTAGATAAAACAAATAATAGATAATAAGTTCGAAAAGAAATTTCTCTCTTTACTTGGCCAGCTAAATATGGTTGTTTTGATAAAATTTTTTCATATACATCTAACTTAGCGTTTAAATTTTCTTTATATTGTGCAACTTTAGCTTCATCAGCTTCACCCATACCTTTCATCCTAATAAATAGAAGAAAAATTTTAGAAAAAGTTTTAAGGATAGTTTAATAAATTATACTTTTTAAAGACTTTTTCAAAGACAATTGGACTAGCATATGGATCAAAATAGGATGTTTCTATGGATGCAGCTTGTTCGAAGAGGCCTTGTGAAGCGGCATCTTTGCTTGGAATTAATTCAGTACCTTTTCCCTTGTATTTTATTTCTAAATAACGGCAAATGGCACGCGATTCTAATTAAAAACACAAAAAATAATCTTATAGTTATTATTATAAAAAAAATTATTTCAACTAACCATAGATTTTAAATCCATCTTCATCAACAAGGACTGGAATAACACCAAATGGTTGTTTTTCTTCTAAATATTTTGGTGACTAAACATAAAACATAGTATAAAAAATAATCATTGTTCGTATTAAATCTTACTTTGTGTTCACCTGCAGCAAAATCTATATTTACTACTTCATATTTAAGACCTTTTTCAGTAAGTGTGGTTAATACACGTTGTGTACATGTTGACATAGCCAAACCATAAACTTTAATCACCATTCTTTTGATATATGAATGTAACTAGCAGTTGTATAAGCAAACTGTGAAATGTAATGAGCTATACAATAAATGTCTTATATTTATATATGAGCGATAAAATGCAGTGTCATTGATGGACGTTTAATACGATGCCTGGTAAAGTACGAGAGGAACGCAACAAAATAAAAATGCTTCGTCATGTTTTTCTTACTAAGCAAAAAAGAAAGGAGGAAAATATATGTAATTCTTGTTGACAGCTTTTATTCATCGATTCATTTCTATGTATTCACGTGGTTATTCTGACAATGCAAATTTTTTGCAATTGTACCCATTTTTAGAATAGAAAAAATTGTTGTCAAATTAATTTCTTTTCACTTGCTGTTTGTATTCAGTTTTATTATGAAACTATTTCATAGATACAGCACTATATACTATATATATATATAAAGATAAATGAAAATCATGTCCTATGATAATTGGGTTGAATAGTATGTAGTTATGAAAAACAATCAATTTTTGTATTTTTATTACCAATTAAAATATATCAATTCGAGACGGGCAATCGAATAAACATATATTAAAAATAGCACTGATTTTAATTAATAGAAAATCTTGAAGTTGTATATAGACTAGAATATTGGATTTACGATTCTGTTTTATTATTTGTACGTTGAAAAGCTATCGTATTTTGTGTTTCCCACTCATGCGGAGCAGATAAATAAACAATATGACATATGCAAAATATTTTTGATCAGTGAAATATATTACGCACTAATGATTCTAACTGCATATTTTTAGAGAAAAACAAAAAGTACTGAAATTCTTTCAGACCGTAATGAGAAAAAGTGCATCTATGATTCTAATGAATGATTTTTAATAAAGAAATGCTTTGTAAGCAATTGTTAAATATCACTAAAATTGCAAGCTGAAATTAGTCACATTGGACTTAAATATTAACAAATATCGAAATACTAAAAGTAGAAAATCATATGACAAGAGATGAATCTTTTAATTCATCATCTATTTTACTTTATATCGATTAAGCCATATTTAACAAATTTCATAGATTAAGAAATATCTATATTTCCAAGCGCTTTTTCTTGTTCATTTCTCTGTTTTTTTTCAAATCATATTTGATATGCCTAATTTAACATCTTATCATGCTCCTTCTATACATTCTAATCGAGAACTTCCGAAAACTTATTGTGATCTAATTCGACATGAAATTGATTATAAACATTTTCTTCGTACTCGTATTGCAAATATTCATTCATCTTTATCTTTTACCAATAAGAAACATTTTATTCCAGCAAAGAATATTCCTCGACGTAGATATTATGATCATAATCAACGATTATTTCATGTATATCAACATAATTTACAATTATGTAAAAAAATACTTGAAATTTGGACAAATAATGGTAAACAACAAGGTGGTGTTGATTGTCATAATGAAAATTATCGACAACAAATAAATATTTCTCATTTTCGTTTACGACAAAAACAATGCAAAGATAAAATTGAAAATGAAAATAAACGATTCATACATTCAATGATGTAAATAAAATCTGTTTTGCTTTATATACATATAAATATCTTGATTAATTATTAAGATACCACCGAAAAAAATATCAACCAATACATGATCGTTCAACAGCATATAAAGATTTTGAAAAACATTTAAAATTACTAAAGACGATGTCCCAATATCCCAAATATATTTTAACAAATCCTATTCATAAAAATCTATTTAATTATGATAATTTACCTGAATATGTTTATTATAATTTCAGTCAATTTTATAATTTAAAACCAAATACATCTTTACAAACTTCATGTCAAGCATTACCACGTTCGTATAAATTAATTAAACAAAAAGCTTCAGCAAATAAAACAAAATCTAATAAACAAATAAAAACACCTATGAAATCTACATATGTAGAAAATTTTATACAACAAACATTAAATGATGCAATTTATATTTGTAAAATAGAAATTATTAATATTAATCTTATTTTTATATATTTGTAGATAATCAATCATTTCCATCTGTATCAACTTCTGTTAAATCATTATATACACAAAATAATCAAAGATCAAAATCACGTTCGTATCAACAACAAAAACCCTTTCATTCTGTGTCATGTCGTCAGTTACTTGAGCCTTGGTCTAACACAAGACAACAGAAGAAAATATCAAAAAATATAATTAATAAAGTAAACTAAAATCTATTGTAATCAATCAGTCATCTTTAATATTATAATCCGTCAAAATTATCGTTTCTACTCTCGAAAAATCATTCGTATTAGAAAGATATCATTTCAAACGTCGTTTACTTCAACTGTAAAAAAATGTACTATTTAATAATCAAGAAAAAACTCTTAAACAAAATCAATAAAAAGAAAATATATAACGCTAATTGATTCATTTTTGATTGAGCAACGTCTATTGGAAAATAATGATTATGATAGTTATATTCAAAATTCTAATCCTTCTTTCTTATATAACTATGGTAAATACGAATCATTTTCAAGGTGGAACAATCACATATAAAATAGTAAATTCTTATGAATCAAATGTATCAATCATGATTACACAAATATATTTATATAAATGGCCATTAATTTATTGTGATAATTCTTATATATTATCACAAAGCACACCGAATATGACTGATTTTAGTGAATATAATTATACACTTAATTGTGTAGCTAATTGTACAACAACAGGTGGTTATAAACCAGTATTAATAAGAACATATTGTACAGATTATTCTTCTGCGATGGCTATCAGTGTTACAGCACGGACTGATATAGTTAATCTAACGCTTGGAGCTTATTTTATAGTTGCTTTTAGATCGTATGTTGCTAGTATTTTTAATTTAATTATGTATGTATCTGTTTTATATACTTTTAGAACAGCTTGGCGACCACTAAGTCTTCCAAAACGAGATATATCTGATAAAGTTTGGAGTGTTTCATGCACTATAAATCTAAGTATACGGTCCGATACAGGGAAACTAAATACACCACCTGTTACAAATATGATATCACCTATTTATATTCCTGCTGGAGTTCGAACATCATTAATTATACCAACTATTGATAGTGATAATGATGTAGTACGATGTCGTTTTGCAACTACAGTTGATGAATGTGCTGATGCATGTCCATCAAATTCTCTTCCAAATGATACAGTTATCGTATCTTCAAATTGCACATTGTTTATTACTGGTATCAAAGCTAACGATTGGTATGCTGTTGCTATTCAGGTATATAAGAGACGACATGAAAAAATTATGAATAAATTAATCGAAGATTTTAGTTAATTATTTTTTTTGAATTCAGATTGAAGACTTCGCTGATTTAAATTCAACTACTCCATTAAGTTCTGTACCTGTTCAATTTCTTATTAACGTCTATGCCTCACCGAAATGTCTTGTTGCTCCTGTTCTTGATGGTTCTTCTAATCAAACAGGAATATATGAAAGTATACAAGTTGGTCAATTACATTCAATGACACTTTATGCTATAAATTATTGCACCCTCTATAGTATTACAATTAAAGATATTGCTACTTTATCATTTCCTATTGTCATTAAAAGTAATATCACTCAAATATCAAGTATGTTGTATTCCGTTACTCTGACTTGGACACCGACAGAAAGTCAAGTTGGTTCACAAATTCTTTGTGCTGTTGCAATTGATAGGTAAGCATATGTGGTTGTGTATATGATAATAAAGATATCATTCATTCTTGATTTTGATGTAGTCAAAATGTTCAATCAAATCAATATTGCACTACTTTTATAGTTAATATGAACAGTACTGCAGTATATCCTAGAGATGTATTAGAAATGACGTAAGTATACTCACTCAATTTTATTTTGATTGCTATTTCGTTACAGTAAAACTAGAGGAAACAGTATGAAAAACAAATACGTTTAAAATACATTAGATCGTTGATTGGATAAACTTCAATAATATTTTCGCTATAAATAACAGACTAGAATTTTTATATTAGAGAATATTCCACATCGACGACAATGCTCACCACCACTGTTACTACTACTGATATTACAACAACTACTGGTAGTACAATAACACCGGTTTCTGAAAATACGACTACTACAAGCGCAGCAGTTACTATTAATACTACAACAAATAATAGACAAAATAACTATGCTATTACTTATACTACAATGCTTCCTACCGAAACTACATTTAACTCTATTCCATTTACAGCAGCGACTACTGAAAGTTCAATGGATATTAATGAAACTACAACAGATACTACACAAACTACAATGTTTGTTACCGAAAATGCACTTGGTATGATTCCATTTACATTAGTTACTACTGAAAGTACGTCCAGTATCAATCAGATTACAATGGTACCTACGCATAATACCATAATCATGACTGAAAGCACAATGACCACTACTGACACAACAATAATGACTAGTGAAAACATATATGTCAACGTTCAAAGTACAAGTGTTACTACAGTAAACAACAATTTAGTTTTAACCAGTAGTGCACCTACATTAAATATGATATTACCATCAACAGACATCCAGTAAGTATCCTGCTTTTAATTTTCAAAATATTATTTATAGTACAACTTTTGTAGAAAGTATAATGTGAGATTAGAACACATAAATGAATATAATTGGAATTTATGATAAGGCTTTTGCTAGCAGTAGTCGAAGTATTTTTTTAGAAAAGAAAATAATTCTTACAATATATTTTATTAGAATATCATCTACAAGTACTCAAGAAATATCTAACCATTTTGCATCATCTGTTGATAATACTACAACACTTTTCAGTGCAAGAAAAAGT